CACCTCCAGCTCCTCCCCGTGCGCAGCCCTCCTCCCGCCGCCGTCAGCCTACGCCGCCGGCCCTCGGCCGCGTGATGCTGGCGGCGGTGGGCTTGCCCTTCCCCGCGCGCGGTCCTCCCCTGCTCGGGCGGTGATGGCCGGCGACGGTGCGCTTCAGCTGGTGGCGGTCCGGCGTCCTGGTGTGGAGGCCGGCGGTGCTCGCCTTGGTGGTGCCGCCTCTTGGCGGCGGGGTGGTCCGGTGGTGCTGGCCGGCCGGGGGTGCGTCCCCGGCCCAGATCTGGGCCCGTAGGGTTCCCTCTGGGTCCTTGCGGGTCGGCTCCGCGCGACCGCGACGCTCTCTGTATGGGGAGGCTAGGGAGCGGCTTGGACTGGGTCAGCGACGCCGGCGGCGTACCAGCTGCTGCGTGGAGGCGGGAGCTGTCCGGGCCTTTGAGGGCCCGGCCGGGCCTGTGGGGCCACGGGCCCGGTAGGCTCCTGCCATGGCGTCCTGTTGGCTACCGTCGTGGACGGTGGAGGTGGGGCCCTCCCATATGCCAATGGTGCTATTGCCCTAGTCCCGGCTCCTCTTCTCCGCTGTGCAGACCATCTTCGCGGTGCTGTGGCGAGACAGTGTGGGAAGCTTCGTGTTCGTGTTGGCGTAGGGTGGTGGTCGGTCTGGTGGCGAGCTCCGGAGTGCCTGAGGTAGAGGCTGGGATCGGGAGAAATCTTTGTTGGCTTGGCCAACACCGACGCGGTGGCGCCTGAGGGTGCCGCCGGACCTTCCTGGAGGGCGTCGGGGCTACCCTTCCTCTCTCCTCGCCGTGTACCGGGGGAAACCCTTGGCAGCAGCGTCGTCATCGTCGCGTCCCTTCTTGGAGGTGTTGTTGGGTACCGGCACTTCGGAGTCTCGGAGCTTGGTGGGTGATCTCCGGTGGACGCAGCGGTCACGAGGCTTCGTCGCTTTTGTCGATCCGCCGTTATCGGCATTTGTTTCTTTTCTTTTTTTTCTTTCCTTTCTTTTTGGGCGTGTTTGTGCTGCTTCCGCCCCAACCCCTATCGTCGGTTGTCTCGGTTGGTTGCTTTGTAATACAAAGCGGGGGGAAACCCTTTTTCGTCAAAAATGGTGAACCTTAATTGTAGTAGCGAAGTACAGAGTCTCACTTATACCAAAGTTATTATGTGGTGATATATTGATCCTCACACCCAAACTTGCCATGTATACCCACCAAATCTTGACAAGTCATGCCAACCAAAATTTAAATACAAATTATGTAGAAGTCTGAAAACGAACATAAGAGCACCTGTGCAACAAGCCAAAAAAAGTGGAATGCAAGAAAACCTAATAAGGATTGTTGTAGCAGTGGTGAGAAAATTCCAAACCTCAGTAGCAGAACTCCGAAGCTTGACTTATTTCACAATCATTTGGTGGTGATATTTTGATCTCAACAGTCCAATTAGTCATGTATACAGCTTAAATTAGTTCTGATGAGTGATGGACACAGAAATTTAAATGCAGAGTATGTAGAAGCCTACGAGAACAAAAATAAGGACACCTGTACAGAAAACCAAAAATAATGGTGAATATTTGACCAATCATAATTTTAGTCCAGGATGTGAAACAAAGAAAAATTGTAAAGGCATTAGCTGATATCAATTTTTAACATGCTCCCTCTTACCCATCTTTTTACATGTGATGTAAGAAGGTAAGAGTTAATCA